TTTTTTTTTTTTTTTTTGTTATTCATCTTTTTCTTTATTTTATTATAATTTTTTTTTTTTTCATTCATATATATACATTAAATGCATGTCTAATTTTTTTTTTGTTTATTTATAATAGTGTTTCATATTTTTAAAAAAGTAGTTATGTAAGTAAAAATAATATTAAAATTATAAATTCATATTTATGTGCATATTTATATATATTTTTGTATTTTTAGTTATCTACAACATTTTTATTAATAATAATATTCTTTAGAATAATATATATAAATAGAAAATTAAAATTACTTTTTTTTTTTTTTTTTCTTCTTTTATTAATTATGACTTCGAATTACATTATACATATTGGTAATAAAATTATAAATAAACGAATCAAAATTAAAGAATTTCTAAACAAATATGAAAGAAAAGTATTAGAAAAAAATGTCAATGTTTTTTTTTATATACTAATTAATTTATTATTCAATTTATCTATTGATAGATTTCGATTAGTAATTAACAGAAAATATATTTTTTTTAAAAACAGAAAAAGAATTGATATTGTTTTTAATATAACGAAGAAACTGCTAACTCTAAATAATATTGATATAAAAGAAAAAATTACAAATCTTATAGAAAATAAAAAAAATTGCATTGATAATAGTGAAATAAATGAGAATGAATTATATGAAGATATAAATACTAAAAGAAACAATTTTTCTAATACTTCTTTAGTAGATAATATATATAAAGAGTACAGAAAACTTAATATAAAAAATGAAAAAGATTATCTTAATAACAAATCAGAAACTCTTTTAAATAATCAAGAAAAATTTTTTGACAAAAAGTTATTTTATGAAAATTATACATTTGAAAATAAATCAAATTATATTAATTATTATGAAAATTTTAAGAGTGATCATTTAGATAATAAAGTTTTATTTTCTTCAAATTTGCTTAATTATAAAGATGTTAAAAATAAAATTAATGATTTTAAAATAAAATCAAATGAAGAATATCATAAAAATAAAAATATATTAGAACAGAAAGTAAGTAATAATAAATATGATAAAAAAAGTATTATTTTAATAAAAAAGGAAAAAAAAACAAATATAAATATTTTTGACGAATTTCTTGATATTTATTTATTATTCCGATTGAAAGGAGGAAAAGGAGGATTTGGTGCAAATTTGAGAGTCAAAAAAAGAAAGAAGAAAAAAAAGAATAACTTTGATGCTGCAAGAAACTTAAAAGGAAATAGAATTTTAGTTGATAGAATAATTGAAACATCAGAAATTTTATTAAAAAAAAAAGAACAAGAACAAATTTTAATTGATAAACTCAATAGTTCTTTTATAATTAATGAAACTGATGAAAATGACCATCTACTAAAAAATCATATAATTAAAGATGAAATAAATGAAAATTCTAGTAAGAGTGAAAATTTTATAAAAGATAATCAAAAATTAGATATGCGTCATATCATTGCAAATGGAATCAAGGAAGAAAAAAAGCAAAAAAAAAATTTAAAAAAAAAAATTGATAAAAATGTGAATAATCAAATTAAAAATGTGAAATCAATTGAGAATATGTACAATTTTTTATGAAGACAGAAATAAATTTATATATATATATATATATACACTTGTGTAAAATAAAATATAAAAATTGTGAACTTTTTTACTTTTAAATATTCTATATGAAATTTTATTAAACAGTTATGTTTTTTTTTTTTTTTTTTTTTTTTTTTTTTTTTTCCTTTTTTACAACATTTTGAATGTTTTTAGTAATTATGTAAAAATAAAAACATTTCGTGCTGAAAATTTAATTTATACACATCTTCATTTTTTTTTTTTCCCTTTTTTAATATTATGTTATTTTAATTATTAAAAATATTCTTATTAAATTTTTATATATTTCTTAAAGTTTATTATTATCTTCCTTTTTTATAGATACATGAAAGGTTACCATAATTTAAATAATTTTGCTACATTTAATGAAAACATAAAATTTTTAAAAATTATATAAAAAAATTTTGCTTAAAAAATAAATAAATAAATAAGAAAAGACAGCAAAATTAAGTGAATAAATATGAGATATTGAGAAAAAGAAAAAAAAAAAAAAAAAAAAAATACATAAATGAAAAAGTAAAATTATTAACTAAAATGTTATATACACATATATATTTATTTTGTCTTTTTTCTTAATACGCAGAAATATTTATATTTATTGCTGTAGGAATTTTTTTTTTTTTATTTTAAAAAAAAAAAAAATTAAGATAAAATAAAAAGAAAGAATAAAATTGAATATCATTGAGACATTTATTTAAAGAAAAAATAATATATATATATTATATACATAGGATAGATAAATTTAATTATAAAAAAAAAAAAAAAAAAATTAAATAATTTTATAATTTGAATATATTATTAAATTATAAATAAAATTTTACTTGTATGTTGTATATAAATATATGTGTATCCAAATTTTAATTTACAAAACTTATTTTTTTCCTTTTCAATTTTCATTTTTATTTGCTGTATCATCAGGAACAAATTCCACTTGAATATTATAAATTTGGCAATTTTGAAAAACATTTTTTGCAATATTTTCATTATTATATTTGATAATAGCATATTTTTCTCCGAATGAAAATAAAGAAAAATAAGATATATGTTCATTTAAAAAAACAGAATTATTTTTTAATATATAATTACTTAATTCTTCATTATTTCTAATATTATTTAATGAACTAATTTTTAATGTTGTACTATTTTCTATATTGTTATTGTCATTATTATTATTATAATTATTTAATATTATAGAATTAGAAAGTTCATTAAAATTAGAATTATCACATTGATTATTTAATAACTGTATTCTTTTTTTTAAATGATCTATTAATGTTTGTAATTCTCTTTTTGTTTCATTAGTAATATTTTTATTATTGAACATATTAATATATTCATTTAATTTTTCTTTACATTTTCGTAACAACTCTTTTTGCTTTATATTCATAATTTGTTCTCTCTTTTCTGCACTTAATGATAAAAATTTTTTTTCTGATATATTAGGTGATACATATTTGTTACTATTAACCTTTTCATTAAAATAACTAATTTTTTTAGATTCATTTCTTAATTCAAATTGTAAATTTTTAAAATACTTTGGCAAGTTATTATAGGCATTTAAAGCACAATCTGCCGAAACAAATTTTACAATAAAAAGATTCTTACCTTTAATATAACAAACTGAATCAATATTTCCATAAATAAAACATAAACTATAAATAAAATTTTCATCAGTATATTCGTTTGACATATTATATATATATAAAATTTTCGCTGCTTTTTTATTTAATATATATTGATCATTACTATAATAATTTTGAGAATAATTTGTTAAATTATTACTATAATTATTAAATCCTGAATAATTTAAATTATAATTACAATAGTTATTATAATTTGCTTGATTGTAATTTGCATTATTCATATTATAGTTATATAAGAAATTAGAGTTATAAGATTCCTCCTCATTATAATGCATATTATTATTATTATTTTTACTTATCTTCAAATTTCTTTTATCTTCATCATAATTATAATAGCAATTATTTACATTATTATAATAATTCATATTTTTATCATAACTATTCCCATTATAATTCCCTTGAAAATTATATTTTTTATCACTATCCATCTTTACATTTAAAAACAAGTAAAACTTAAAAAAAAATGTACAATAAAACTAAATAAGCTTAAATTTATACTACTGATATTTTTTTAAAGTAGGTTTTTTTTTTTTTTTTTTTTTTTTTATCTAATGTTCTAGATATTTCATATAATAAGACTTTTAATAATACAAATATTAATATTTGTAATAAATATATTCTTATATTAATGTGTTAAATATCAATTTTTTATTTTTTATATATTTAATGTATAAATGGAGGAAAATAAATTCTTTTGTAATGATTTGTTCTTAAAAATATTTTTTTAAAACAAATATGTTATTTCTTCGTCTCCCCCCAATTTATGTTTTCCTGTATTAACTCCCTATTTTTTTTGTGATTTTTAACTAAATTTTTTTTTCTTAAAATGTTAAAAAATATAAAAAAATTTATATATTTCAAATTTTTTGCAAATAATTGTATTCTTTAAGCTCAATTTTTTTTTTTTTTTTTTTTTTTTAATAAATTAAAAAAATAGAGAAAAAACAATTAAGTTTCAAATAGTTTTAACATAATAAAAATTTTTCTATATATAATAAGTATTATATATATATATATATATATATATATATATATATATATATATATATATATATATATATATATATACTTAATATACTGTTTTACTGTTTAATAATAAAATATTTACATTCAAATTTTTTCATATTTTTTTTTTTTTTTTTTAAATGCTTTCTTTTTATTATGTGTTTTGTTTTAAACAATTTTGAAAATTTTTTTTTATTATATTTTCATACATTTTTTTTTTTTTTTTAATGTTTTTAAAAATATAATAGATTTTAAGTGTTTATCACATCTTATTTTTTTTTTAATGTTTTTTTATCGTGTTAAAAGTAGTTTAACTTTTTTATTTTCCTCTTTATGAAGTTTATTACTTTTTTTTTTATTTTTTCTATTTTTAAACATTTATGAAATATTTTTTTTTTAAAGGAATTGGTTTAAAATACTTTTAGGAACCTTTAATTTTCTTTTATACTTAAATTTAATGAAATATATTTTTACAGATGTTTTAATTTTAGATAATATGTAACTTGTAACTAGACATATAAAAGAAGGAAATATTTGAAAACACATATATTAATTTATTAATGATTTTTTTTTTTTTTTTTTTTTCTTTTAAATCAAAAACTATTAGTAAATGGAATTATAGAATTCTTTATAATTTTTATGAAAAATGAATCAAATATAAAATAAAAACTACTAAATAATAAACAAAAATAAATGTATATATATATATATATAAATACAATATGGGAAACTTATACATCTATACCTTTTAAAATAAGAAATTTTTATATATATTTTTTTTTTTTTTACAAAAAATATAAAAATAAATAAATATTAATTTTTTTTTTTTTTTTTTTTTCCCTAATTTTGTATTTTGGAAATGTACTGATTTTTCCTATTATTTTTACAGTATAATTATCATTATATCTCATACAATTTATAGACTTTTAATATCCTTTTTTTTTTTTTTTTATATCTAATAAAAGTGAATGATCTCATAGTTTAAGTTATTTTAAAAAAATAATAATTTTTTAGTTTAAGATAATTTTCTTATAACAATTATTTGAAGATTTATTTTATGTATTACCTCTGTTAAAATATGTAAAACAAATTCTTATAATGATTATACTTTTCTTTTTCTTCTGTTTATTTTAATTGATTTTTTCATATAATTAAATAAAGGTATAATATCTCCTATTTCACAAAAATAAGAAAGTAATTTTTAATGTATTTTTTTGTTAAAATAGGTATTTTCTTCATTGAAGGAAAATAAATTGTGTATATATGTAACAGTAGAGATAGTTTCGTATTTATAAAAATAATAATAATAATAATAATAATATTTGTTTTTAAAATAAAAATTATAAAAAACAAGTTTAAAAGGAAAAGATAAATAAAATAAATGTAAAAATATATATATAATTAAAAAATAAATAGAAATAGAAATAAAAGTAAAAATAAACATAAATTCTTTAAAATCTTAGTGTATTATACATTTACTTAGAAAATAAAGAAAGTTATCAATTAAAAACCATTATTTTTAAAATCAGAAATAATTTATAATAAATATTTATTTTATGAAAATATAGATTAAAAAAAAATGTATACCAAAGAAAAAAAATAAATAAAAATAAAATTAAATTAGTAAAAAGATATATATTAATTGATAATTTACAAAAAAAAAAAAAAAAAATAAATAAATAAAAATAAAATAAATAAATAATATTAAGTAAATGTATAACAGTGAAAATGAAAAAGATATAATTAATAAAATAAATTAATAAATATAACAGGAAAATAGATTGAATAAAAAAAAAAAAAAAAAAAAAAAAAAAGAAAAATATNAAAAAAAGGAAAGAAAAAAGGAAAGAAAAAAGGAAAGAAAAAAGGAAAGAAAAAAGGAAAGAAAAAAGGAAAGAAAAAAGGAAAGAAAAAAGGAAAGAAAAAAGGAAAGAAAAAAGGAAAGAAAAAAGGAAAGAAAAAAGGAAAGAAAAAAGGAAAGAAAAAAGGAAAGAAAAAAGGAAAGAAAAAAGGAAAGAAAAAAGGAAAGAAAAAAGGAAAGAAAAAAGGAAAGAAAAAAGGAAAGAAAAAAGGAAAATATTAAAAAAAGGAAAGAAAAAAGGAAAGAAAAAAGGAAAGAAAAAAGGAAAGAAAAAAGGAAAGAAAAAAGGAAAGAAAAAAGGAAAGAAAAAAGGAAAGAAAAAAGGAAAGAAAAAGATTAAAAAAAAATAACATACTTTATATAATGCAGAAATTCTTGATGAACAAAAATAGTGAAAATAATGGAGAAAAATGTATTATAGATAGTAAGATTGATGAAAATTGTGGGTTTTTTGAATCTATATTTAAAAATATAACAAAAAATGAATATTTTAGTGCAGGAGTTGGTATAATTTCAGTGGGTGCATTTGTTACAGTAGCAAATAGATTAAATAGTCTTTTTTATCAAACCTTAAAAAAAAATATGTTTACCTCTTTAGAAATTACAATTAATGATACTTCGTATTATTGGATACTTGAATATATTGTAAAAAAAGGAATAATAAGTAGACATTTAAGCTTAAAAACACAAATGGTTAATGAGAAAAATAAGAAAAATGTATTTTTTTCCTTTTTACCAAGTATAGGAAATCATTTATTAATTTATGAAAATAAATTAATATTTGTAGAAAGATATAGAGAAAAAAACATGGTATCTGATATGAATAGATCTATTCCATTTGAAAATATAAAATTAAGTACTTTTATATGGTCTAAACATATTTTTGAAAAAATTTTAAGAGATGCAAAATTATATATAGATAAAAAAGAAGAAGGAAAAACCCTAGTTTATAAAACTTTTGGCCATGAATGGAGACCATTCGGAACACCAAAAAATAAACGCCCAATTAATTCTGTTATATTACCAAAAGATTTAAGTGAATATATTATAAATGATATTGAAAAATTTCTTAATTCATCCAATTGGTATATTGATAAAGGCATACCTTATAGAAGATGTTACTTGTTATATGGACCACCTGGATGTGGAAAAAGTAGTTTAATAACCGCTCTAGCAGGATACTTTGATTTTAATTTATGCACAATTAATATAAATGATATATATTTAACTGATGATAGATTTATTCATTTACTAGCTACAGTACCACCAAAAACAATTTTAATTCTAGAAGATATTGATTTTATTTTTGTTAATAGTATAAATAAAGATGAAAATAAAAATGTATCATCCTCTTTATCATCTACATCTATTTTTAATAATCCAGTTAAAACGTTAGGTGTATCTTATAGTGGATTATTAAATGCATTAGATGGAATAGTTGCAACTGAGGAAAGAATTATTTTTATGACGACAAATAATATTGAAAGATTACCTAACACTTTAATTAGACCAGGTAGAGTAGATATGAAAATTCTCATTCCATATGCTAATAATTATCAATATGAAAAAATGTTTTTACGATTTTTCCCTGAACATCATGATTTAGCTAAAAAATTTTCAAAAATTTTTCAAAATTTTCATTTAAGTATGGCAGAAATTCAATCCTTTTTTTTATTTTCGAAAGTTGATCCATATAAAACTATTAAAAATGCAGAAGATTGGGTAAACTCATATAAAGAAAAAAAAACAAATGATAAAATAAATACATAATAATTTAATAACAAAAAAAAAAAAAAAAAAACATATATATTTTGAATTTTAGGAATAATATAAATACAAATATATATATTTTATTATATATTTTTTTTTTTTTTTTATTGTATAACATATTTTTATAAATTTTATTTTAATATTGAAATATATGTATTTTTTGTCTAAATTTTCAATTATTCTCCTGTAAATTTTAAAATATAAATAATTTTTTTTCGTAAAAAATGCATATTTCTTTATGCTTTATAAAAAAAAAAAAAACTATTTTCTTAAAAAAAAGAAAAAGAACAAAATTGTATTATTATTTACAAGTTGTATTAATTCTAAAAACTATATATATCCTTCATGAAATAAAAATAAATATATTTGAAGAAAAATTTTCAAAATAATAATTTTAAAATAGGTATGTACATTACTTAAAAAATAATATTAAAAACACAATTTACAAATATGAAAAAAAAAAGATAATGAAATATTAATACTTTTATTTAATATTAATATATAAAAGTAAAAATACATATATTAATAATATTACGTATTTTCAATATGTAATAATCTAAAAAAAAAAAAAAAAAGTTTTTAATTAAAAAAAGTTCATCAGAAAATACCGTTCAAAATATAACAAAATTTGATATAATTTTTTTTTTTTTTTTTTTTTTTTTTTATTTATTTAATTTCTTATTTTTTTTATGCTTTTTACCAATAGCCTCTTTTAAATTATAATACCCCTTTTGATAAAGTAAATTATTAAATTCTCTCTTTATTTTAATAGCAGATTTCATACCATTAAAAACTAGACATGAATATAATTGACAAACAGATGCACCTGCTTCAATTTTTTCTAATGCATCTTTTCCATCAAATATACCTCCTGATGCAATAATTGGAATTTTTTGATTTGTATAATTGTACATTTCAGATATAAAATTAGTTGACATTTCTTTTAATTTTTCCCCACTAATCCCTCCTTTTTTATTTTCAAAACTTTTTATATTAAAATTTTTTGTTGTGGTATTTGAAATAATCATACCATCTATTTCAGTTTCTAATAACACTTGAGCAATTTTTTTTTTTTCATTTTGTTCTAAATCTGGTGCTAATTTAACAAAAATCAATGGTTTTTCTTTTGTAGTATTTATCCAGTAATTATCATTTATATTATTATTATTATTATTATTATTATTATTATTATTATTATTATTTTCTTCTTTTTCTAATTTATTTATTTCTTTTTTTACGTTTAAAATTATATTTTTTAATTTCTCTGATTCTTGATTATCTCTTAATCCTGGAGTATTTGGAGAACTTACATTTATAGCAATATAATCAGAATATCTAGCTATTTTTTTTATGCAATAATTTAAATCATCATTAATATTAAGAGTATCTTTATTTTTTCCTATACTTACACCAACAATATGTCTACTTAATAATTTATCATTTTTTTGTTTTTTACGAAATTTTATTAAATTTTCTGACACTTTATCACATCCAATATTATTAAAACCACATGAATTTATAACACTTCTCGATTCATTATCTCTGAAAATTCTCGGTTTCTCATTACCTTTTTGTTCTCTAGGAGTTATTGTTCCTATTTCAATAAATGAAAAACCTAATTTCAAGATTGAATCTATAGAAACACCATTTTTATCAAATCCCGCTGCAACACCAAATGGATTAATAAATTTTAAATTTTTTACTTCTGATGATGAATAAATACTATCGTTAGTTGTATCATATGGTAATAAATTATATTTTCCTAATAATAAAAATAAATCATGACATAATTCACAATCTACATATTTTAAACAAAATTTTAAAAATATATCGTATAAAAAAAATTCAGGATTATAAGATTCAAAATATACATATACACCCAAAATAGTCGAAAAAATAAAAAATATGACTTTTTTATATTTTAATCTTTCCTTTCTCATTTTTTCTTTAAATATTTTCATTTCTTCATTCATATATTTTTCATCAATTTTTTTTTCTCCAAAATTTTTCTCTGTAGAATGTGTACAAAATTTTCTTATTTTAAGGTCAAACAATGTACCATTATTTCTATTATTCTTAGATATATAATAATGAAATAAATTATAATTATTTAATGTTTTTTTTATACTTTTTTCAAATGGTATATTTTTTTGCAATATTTCATTAATTCCATATTTTTTATATTTAACATTTCTTCTAAGACAAAAATTTATTTTCATAATTTTATAAAAATAATTATTTCCTTGATTACTTACTATCTTATTAAAAAGTGAATTTTTAGAATTTATAATCATCTTATCATATTATTAAAATTCTATATTATTATTCCAAAAATATATAATCAATATTTTTATATGATATTTTTTATTATCAGTTTTGTCCTTTTTTTCTTTCTCTTCAATAAAACTATTTAAAAAAAAAAAAAAAAAAAGATACAATATTATTAAAATTATACAAAAGTTTTTTTTTAAGTTAAAACGTATATATTTCAAAAATATATTTTCAACTATATAAAAATAAAAAAAAATTATTATCACCTTATTTATATTAATCCATAAATAACATCAGGTAACAATAATTTTTTTTTTATTTTATTTTATTCTTTTTTTTTTTTTTTTGAGGTTTATAAAAATTTTTTATAAATCTTTTTTCTTTTTAAAAAATATAAATGATCATTTTTTCTTATTTTCAAAAAAATTTTACAGTATTTTTTTTTTTTTTTTTTTTTTTTTTTTTTCATTTCTCAGTAGATATATATATGCTAATCAAATTTGTGTATTGTAATTTATGATAAATGATTAAACATGTTAGAAAAATAAATAAATAAATAAGAATTTTTAAAAATGTAACAATAGTAGTAATACCATAAATAAATAGATAAACTACCGAACTCTAAAAAAAAAAAAAAATAAAATAATATTATATACATATAAATTTATAAAATATTTATATATATAAACTTAAAAAACATATATAAATACATATATATAAATTTATAAAAAATATAATTGTGTAAATGAAATAAAAGATAAATAAAAAATGTTAAAGTAACAATATATTTACAAATAATTAGAGAAAAATAGTCTAAAAAAAAAAAATTATGAATAATTAAATAATTAAAAAAAGCCATATATTTATATAAAAAAAGTAATAAAAAAAAAAAAAAAAAAATTTAATTATAAATTAAAAAAGTAAAATATATAAATATATTAAAAAGGTTTAAAAAAAATGAAAAAAAAAAAAGAGAAATTATATATATATATTTATTTATAAAGAAAAAAAAAAAAAAAAAAAAAAAAAAAAATATAAAATTAATTTTTTTATAAAATT